AGGGCACACACTGGTCCACTGTGCATCACCTCTTCCCTCTCCAGGACCAACACAAATTCCAAAAACATCTGTTCCCTGGTAGAGTGCCCAGGGCCCTCTACTTCAGGAGTCCCATAGATGCAGCTAGCAAACAATCTTGCCCAGAAGATTAGCAGGAGGAGAAAAGGAGGAAATCTTTTCTATCTGAGGGCAGGAGGGGAAGAAACCACCTCCACTGGCCCTGTGGGAGAGAAAAGAAAAGCCCTTCTGCACATGGCCTTGGGAAAGATGCCAGCCTCTGCAGGCAGCGCAGCCCACTGCATCTGAGTGCACTGCTAAGCTGGTTTTCTAAACGCATCCCTGTTCATAACTTTCTTTTCATTTTCCTAAAAATTAATTCAGGGTGGGAAAAATAAAAATAAAACATTAATAAAAGTCCCTAATAAAAGATTTCAACTTGAGTCTGGTTAACTATAATTTTATAAAAAGTAAAGTTCACTGGTGACTTAATAGCAAGGACAAACCTATTAAAATATAACAGTCTCCTGACGGGTTATACATAGACAGTATCTCAAACGCAAAGATGATTTTCTAGTGTACACTGCTTTTGAGTCACATAGAACACAGAGGACACTGAATGGCCAAGATACAGAAAATGTAGAAGAAACCTGGCCGGCTCCAAGCTGAGCACATAGGTTCCCCAAGGACTGCTGAAGCACTGCAATTTAGAGAAACAAGAGAGGGGCCTCAGCAGCCCCTAAAGACTGCTACTCCTTCCAGGTATACAGGAGGATGCGGACACCTTGACCCAGGAGCCTCTGAGGCCCTCCCTCCATCTTTGGAACACGCTAGTAATTCATTGATAACAGGAAAGTATGAGGGATCTTGTGAGTAGCCAGTACAGCTCCTTTCTTTTCTGGAGGATGCCTATATCAGAACTGGATCTGTTGGAGCTGGAAGGCCTGGGGCTGTCAGATAAATGAACCTACAAGATCAAGGACAGCAGCATTGGCAAAATGACTGGGCAAGCAACAGGAGCAGAGCAAGAGAAAAACCCAGGAGGTGATACCCGCCTAGAGTATAGAACCTTCAACTTCTGGAGAGCTCCCGTTGCCAGCATCCACTTCTTGGAATTGAATTTGCTTTAAGGCCAAGACTTATCTCTCTCACCACCTTGCCCTTATAGTCTTCTCTTTCAAACCCCTTCCTTCTCATTCCTTTCCCAAATTAATCTTATTCTCTAGCCTCTATTATGTGGTGGTGCTGATGAATCTGCCAGTTGATTTTTATTTATTTATCTATCTATCTATTCCATTTCTTTCAAAACCCCTTAAACTAAAGTAAAGGGTTCAAGCAATCCAGTATTGGATCATAGAAATCTCATACCCACTCCCTGGATTATTAACCCCAGAAAACAGGCTTTGTGGAGGCATCAGGGAATAGTAGAGAAGTACAAAATGGAAGACAGTTTTGATTCCAGTTTTAATCAGCTTCAAAGATTGCTCAAATCAGAGGGTAAAGCACTAGCTTGACACATGTGAGAACTTGGGTTTGATTCCTAGCACCACACAAAAGAAAAAGATTGCTCAAACCTTTATAGTTTCCTATGGTTACCAGTAAATTAAGTGTTTTTCCCAGAGTTAATGAAAACCTTCTAGTTTTTAAGATGATTTGCCACAACACAATGGTTTCCAAAATGCTAAGGTGATTATCTTCTTTTTTAATTCTGTTCCTTCTTATAATACATTATTTTCCTCAGAGAAATTGGGGGCAAAGGTATAAAACAAGAGGAAATAATACATTATAAAAAATGCAAATATAGGAAAGCACTAAATCATTTTAAAATAGTTGAAACTTTTTCCTTCCAAAAAGTGTTCTTTGTTTTCTACAGTATTGAGGATTCAACTCAGGGGTGTTCTACAACTAAACTATATCCTGGCCCATTTTATTTTATTTTTTAAATTTTGAGATAGGGTCTAAGTTGTCCATGCTGGACTTAAACTTGTGATCCTTTTTTCAGCCTCTATAGTCCAAAAGGATGTTCTTCAGCTTATTCACTTACAACTTTGCCTCTAATTGTGGGATGATAATTCTAGCTTAGGAAAATCAAATTTCAAATCTTAAGAAGAAACCTTGCTATTAAAATAATTTGTAAGGTTCTGATTTAGCCTTCTAAAAGGCATAAGGTTTGGTCCTGAGTATTTAGTCTTGCCTCCTCCTTATTTGCAATATAGGATACTACTAATCAGTGGGCCTCGGGCACAATTCTAAAGCTACGTTAAGACCATGAAATATATAATGACATTCTGCCCCTACACCTTGTTCCCACTCCTTCCAAAATTACTGCTGCTGATTTGTGCTGCTGTTTACTCATTTATTTAATAAAGACATTCAATCCCCCCTTAAAAAAAAGATACAATGTGTTTTTCATTAATTTTGCCTTGATTTTCCCTGACAAATATACCATGTAAGAAACATACAGCCACTTTCTCCCATAATTGGAATTTAAAAGAAAATCACAAATGTTAAAAGAATTCTTCTTTGAAACAAGAAACCAAGAGAAAAACATCACTAAAAAGCAAAGCAGAAAGAAACCCACTGTGACACCAAAGCAAGTGAAGCTCACAGATTCTCAAGAGACACTTATGCTCGTGGCCACACACAATATGGTACATCTTAGAGCAATCATCCATCATAAAAAGATCCGTTGATGTTTTGTCTTGTTTTTTTTGTTTTTTAACAGCTATGAGAGTTAGGGATAGGCGGGGGGTGCAGAGGGGAGGATGTGGGAGCAAAGTCACAATGCCTCACC